GGTGCCGGGAACACTCTTATTGGGTCACAGGACTCCACTGTCCACTCATCTCAGTTCTGGGACAGCCAAGTGCTGTTGGGAGGCAGGGTGTTGTTTTGTTCCACAGAGTTCAGTGATCCTGGTGTTGTTTAAAAAAAAAAAAGCGCTTCCCACTAGAGTTAATTAATGAATTAACTAATTAATCAGTGTAGTACACTGATTGGGGTTAGTGATCAAAGGGTCAAAATTATATATTTATGTTTTGTAGTTGGAAGGAACTTGTGAGCCTTCCTTGGGGAGTAGGAAATAGGATGCTTTAACACATGACACATGCTTAGGGCATAGGGTGATGGCTACCTCCTCGTTCTGCTCCTCCTCCTCTTCCTTCTTACTCTTTTTTTGAGACAGGGTTTCCGTATGCAGTCCAAGCTGGCCTTGAACTCACTTTGTAGCCCAGACTGTTCTCCAACTCAAGGCAGTCCTCCTGCCTCAGCCTCCCAAGAGCTGGGACTACAGGGGTGCACCAGCAAGCGATGTGCTTAGTTCTTATAGCTTACAAGGTCCCAAGTTAATATTCTACAATGAACTCATCACTCAGTGGTAGTGTGGCTTTAAAAAATATAACCACAATTCCTACACTTAGAAAGTGTTTTCTTCTGAGTGAGCTGCAGGGGAAAAAGCATTGTTGAAGGAATCCAACATTCCAGGCTGAACAGCGGTCACAAACCTCCCCCCCACCCTTCACTCACACACCTGCTACAAATGTATAATTCTGGGTGGACAAGGCCACGGGCACAACTCCCAACACTTGCAACTCCCTGCACATTCGCCAGCCCGTCCCTGGCGGACAACTCATGTCCACTGAACTCACCACTAGAAAGTCCTGTTTCTGACCAGCCCCCATTAATGCCCATGACCTACTATGAGGGTATTCCCTTTGGTCAAAGTGCCAGGACGGTCCCTGTCAGGTTTGTTCTGAAATAAACTTGCCCTGTGAGCTCTTACCTCTGTTTCTTTTCCTTTTTCCTGGCAACTGTAACCCTGAGTACCTTTGGGAGCTGCAGCTTTTCTTTTGTTTCTTTGTTTTTTTCTTTTCTTTTTTGAGACAAGGTCTTGCTATGTAGTGCATGCTGGGTTTGCACTCACTGTGTAGCCCAGGCTGCCCTCAAACTCTCCCGATCCTCCTGCCTCAGCCTCCTGAGTGCCGGGATTACAGGCGTGCATCACCACACCCAGCTAGCTCCAGGTTTTCTTAAACATACAATTTTTCAAGGGTGGTTTTCTCTGTCTCCTTCCTACGTCCCTTGTATTTACCATCCTACCTCAGGTTTTTGGCAGGGAGCTCAGTGGAAACGAGGTAGGAAAAAAGAAAGACAAATAGAAAGGAGACTCAGAAAATCTTCATTTAAAAACTACTTTTAATGGGGCTAGATATTTAGCTCAGTAGGATAAGCGCCTGCCTTGCAAGCAGGCAGTCCTAAGTTCGATCCCTGGTACCGATAAAAAGGAAAAAGACACACACACACAAAAAACTACTTTCAAGAAGACCGCTTGCCTGGGGGGGCAGAGCATACCTGTAATCCCGGCACTCAGGAGGCCTGGGCAGGAGGGTCACTGAGAGTACAAGGCCAGCCTGTACTGCAGAGGGGGAACATTGGCTCCAAAAGGGAAAACAAGAAGGAGGAGGAGGAGGAGGAGGAGGGGAGGGGAGTAGCGGGAGGGGGGTAGCGGGAGGGGAGAGGAGGACTGCAACCTCAGGGACACAGTCAAAGCTGGGGGGGGGACCCACATTTGTACCCCTTAGGGTAATTTACTCTGCTCAGATGCATTGCACCCAAAATTCCTTAAGGAAACTGCAGTTTCAGAAATTAGCTTAGTTGAGTAGTAGGGGTCCATTAGCTTGGGGGATGGATGATGCTTTCTTCTTTTTCCCAGAAGCAGGGCCCAACTTCCCGTTGACTCACAAATCCCGCAGGTTTCCACCAGATCTAGAGTCACAAGTGTTCCCAGCTCTGCAAGCTAACACGACGCTCTCTAAGACCCTGTGTTCTCTTTCTTGGTGTGTTTTAAAAAGTCTAATAAATCCTTTCCACCTCCCACTGATGCATCCTAAAAATTCTTTGTCTGTGACAGAGGTCAGCAAACCTATATCCTGTCTCATAGATCAGGTGACACAAAGGTCCCCAGCCCTGCCTTCGGGACTTCCTCGGACCCTGCCCAGTGATAGACGGTCCAGGCATCATGGGCAGGGACGCCAGCCCCGGCCATCCCGTGACATAGGGACGAGGAAGCCAGAGCCCAGGCTCACAGGATGCAACCCCAGCAAGAGACACAGAGAGCGACTCCAGGAAAGGAGCAGCCATGTGGGACGTGAGGGGACCTCGGGACACAGAGGTGGCGAGGGTCCCCCCATACCCACAACTTCTCCCCAACCTGTTGGGTGTCAGAAGTGCTGAGTTCGTGTCTCTGCGATACCCAAGAATGGGCTGAAGAGCAAAGGAGGTTAAAACTAGGAAAGGCGCACAAAGAAAAGCTCCCGAGAGGCAGGAGGGTCCCGGAAGGGTGCGGCGCTGAGACTTTTTGTCCAAGGGTGTTTTATAGAGCAGTATCCCAAGGTGGGTGGCCAGGGGTCAAACTTCAACCACCCTACAGGATTACAAGTACAGTCGCTTAGCTAATATTGATGCAAAGGGAAGCAAGGCGCAGAGCGAGGGACACAGGTGAGCACCTTTAACCTTAACAGAGTGAGACCCTGTCTCAAACACCAAACAAACCAAACAAATGCTTGCTTTTCTGCAGCTTCTACTATAGAAAGAACAAAGGCACTGACAGGAGGAGGAGAGGGTATGGGTGAAGCTGCTCTAGTGACCAATCTGTGTATCTGCCGCCCGCTGAGAACAGAGGCTCAGAACAAATGGAAGCAAGCTCTATTAGCTGCCGGACAGTGGTCAGCAAACAGCCAAGACACTGACTGACCACAAAGCTTTGTGCTCAGGGGTTTTTACACTTTTACCAAGTTCCCCAGTAACCATAGCAACCACATGGCTTCACTTGCAACTCTTTCTTTGGTATGGGGATCTCAGGATCTCATACTTGCCAGGCAGGTGCTTATGTCACTGAGCTATGTCCCTGGCCCTTCTTTTTTATTCTTTAATGGCTTTTTTTTTTTTCCTTTTCATACTGAGAAGAGAATTGAACTTACAGCCTCGCGCTTGCCAGCAGACACTGTGCTGCTGGACTGTATCGTCAACCCTTCACTTGCAATTCTGCAAGAATGTGGAAGGCTTTTTCAAACATCTAGGTTTGTTAGTCAAACAGGATGCAGACTAAGGACATGGTCAGCCTGGCTCTTGTTTGCTGTAACTGTTTGTTCTGCCCTTGTGGGTTTTATGGTTAACTGGAAGGGGGTCTCAGGGGGTGAGGTCATCTACATGTTCCCTAAAAAAAAAAAAAAAAAACGGAGTCCTAAAGCACAGTGGAGTCACTTTTGCCCCATCCCCTGGACCGGGGGTGCTGATTACAACACAGTCTCAAGCTGCAGTTTATCTCAGGGAACCCTTTGGGCCTTCGGGCCTGGCTGGCTTCCAATTTGCCTCCAGCTGCAAGTGTGCTGTCTCTTCCTCCTCACGGAGGACCTTGATGGCCCAGTCTCTCTCCGCAGGCATGTTCATTTCTATCACACTTAGCTGTCTATAGTAATTAATTTCTATCCTCACCTGGCCATGCACGCAATGGGGCAGATTTCTCTGTTGGTCCCCAGGAATTCCCGAGTCTGTGGCAAAAAAGACCTTGAAAAATGAGGAGTTTTCCTTTTAGCACGGATTTCTTCTCCGACATCGCCATGCTGGGAGCTGAGCCCCTGGCCCCCTGCTCTGCTCCTCAGTCCGGATGGATGGACAGAAAGGTTGTGTCTCCGACAGGAAGGGAGCACACGAACCAGTGCAGCCTTGGAAAGGAACCTGCAGCACCGCCCAAGGTCAAGGGCCTCCTTCCCAGGGGATAACAGGCTGGCTCCCTGAATTTCTCTGCTCCCCGCAATCGAAGCCCTCATGCTCTGAGCCAGGGGAGGACAGAGGTCTGAGGCAGAGGCCTCTGTGTCTCCTTCACAGCCAGCTTTGAATAAACCTTTTCCTTTCCCCAAACATTGTCCTCCAGGGGCCTGATAGGCAGTGGGGACCTGAACCAGGTGACAGGAAGAAGCTTCTGTGCCAGCAGAGGCTTCCCACTTCCCATCTGTCCTCCCTCCTCTCCAGTCTGTGGGACGACTCAGCTTTTTGACAAAGCCTGGCACACAGGTCTGACCTCTTTTCCTGTAAAGGCCCCAGCTCTTCTGGAACCTTCCTCGGGCCTATTCTGGCTTTGGGGCATCAGGTCAGGTAGAGGGGAGAGGATGCTCCTGTTATCCCAGGGACTAGCGCAGGCCTGGAGACAGGATAGGGTGTGAGAAGAGTGGGAAGCTGTGGGGTGGGGGCCAGCGAAGGCCACTGGGGTCTTCTATCAGCATGGGAGAGATGCAGAGGTGCCAGGCCGGCTGCCCCCACTCAGGACCCATCACTCACAACGAGTCTTTGTTTCTGAATCCCAAGGTCTTTGGCTGACTGGTGCCCAGGCGGGCAGATGGCTTGTGGAATGCACACTTAAGGTCCAGCTCCTTGAATTCCAGGCCTGGGAGGCCTGTGGGGATGAGGGGGAGAGCCAGTCCCCTCCCCCGTGCCACCTCTCCCATTGTTCCTGGGAACAGGGAAGAACCCAGAAGTAGACACTGTGGACGGGTGGCCACGGCACGCCGGCCAGCACCCAGTTCTGCCTTTGCAATGTGACTCCAGAGAGAATCTCAGCCTCTGTGTCCTGGAGACCGCCTGCCACAGGTTCAGACCATCGGCTCTCCCTCCTGATGCTCTTGCGGGACTGAGGTGGATGGGCCACCTGCCTTCTGCGTGGTGGGACAGGAAACCTTGTGCCCTGCCCTCCAATCCTCTGCGTGTCACACTGAGTCTCCCTGGGAGCGCAGGCCAGGAAGTCCCCTCAGCCTGCACCGCTGCTGCCCAGCGGGGTCCGCCCCCTGCTCTCTCGGGGCTCCGCCTCCACCCAGTCCCCACCAACCTTGGGCCTCACTGAGTTTCTCTTTCACTTTGGGATCCTGAGGTCCTGCACCAGGGCCCAGCTGCTACCGCAGGTCCCCAGGGCGCCCACGCCAGCAACGCAGAGGAGGAGACGGGGTCTGAGCAGCAGGCAGCTGACCCGCGCTGGCCCGTCCACTTGGGGCAGGGGCAGCGGGAGCAGGTCGGGGCCTCCAGAGCGGGGCCCTGTCTGTGCTCAGAAAATGGAGCGCTCGGACTGGAGTGGAAGAGACTCGCTGGAGGAGGTCTGCCCACGGGGCTGCCGATGGACCGCGCACTACAGGTACCGGCGCCGCCGCCCGCCCGCGCGCCCGCCCTGCGCGCCCTTCCCGGTTCCGCCCTCCCCGCCGCCTGTGGCCGCGCACTGGCGGGGCCGCCCCTGCTGGCCCCGGCCCTGGACTCCGTCATCCCGGGCTGCAGCGGGAGCCCGAGCGGACCGTGGGCGCTCGGTGCCCACCCGCGATCCCGCGCTGGCCCGCAGCTGGCGCGGAGGGCGGCCCTCTGGGGTGTCCCCGCGGGGATGGGGACGGCGCGCGGCCAGGGTCCGCGCAGCCGAGCCTCGGCACCCGCGCTTCGCCCGCAGACCCGGGGCCACTCGGGGGCCGCAGCAGGAGGAGACCTCAGAACGCTTGGGCGGAGAGCGAGTAGTTTCACATTAGGAAAGCCTGCCGCGCGAAGGCGCCGGGGTGGGGGGGGGGGGGGAGACGAGCTGGAGGTGGGGTCCGGGCGCGGGAGCCGCCGGCCCTGGGACTGTGCGGGCGCCGCTCCCTGTCTAGCAGCCGGGCTGTGTGCGAACACGGGGCGTCCCTAACTTTTGCAAAAACGCAGCCTGCAGAGGTGGAAAGTCAGAAATGAATGAAGTGAAAGGTTAGACGTTATTCTTTGGGGGTGCGGGAGTTTTGTGTCTTTGACATTTTCTCCCTGCTTGGGGATGACTGGGCAGCAAAACAGGGAGGCAGGGCGCCCCATTGGAAGGACCAGAGCTGGACCCCGGGCCGAGAAGGGCGCCCTCTGGCCCTTGCCCTCTCTGCCCCTCGGCTGCCTTCTCTCTCACCTGCAGAGGCCGCGGGGCCTGGGGGGCTGTGGGAGGCGCCCGTCCCGGGCTCTGGGGACCTGTGTTTAGTGGGCAGCCGCCTGGCGCGACTACGGTTTCTGCAGTTCCTCTTTCTCTCCTGTGCCCACAGAAAACTGATAGAGCAAATATATAAAAAAGCATTCAGGTTCTACTTTCGAAACCTACGCTACGCCTATGGCCGGAATAATACCTTCCTGTGCTTCCAAGTAATAAGAGAACAGAACAACGAAGTCCTTCACAAGGGGGTCTTTCTAAACCAGGTACCCTCCAGTCTCTTCTCTGGGACAGGCAGAAGCTAGGCCAGGTGAGAATGCAGAACCAATGATCAGTAAAAGCCACGTGGCGGAGTCCTCCGACCTGCTGTCCGGCCTGACTGTCCCAACTCTGAATGACACCCTGTGACTTCTCACAAGAGGCCTCATTTGAGAGGTGTTGTTCCACTCTACCGGCGCTTACTCCCGAGGTCGGGGCACCCCGATGGTCAGGCACCCCGGGCACGCTTATCTGTCCTGTGACTGCTGGGGTGCTCAGTTCTGTCCTGCCACAACCCTGAGCCTCCGCGGCCCCCATCTGCTGTCTTACAGCACAGGGCCCCACCTCCCTCTGCCCCAGCTGCTCAAGCCTTCCGGGGGTGTCTCAGTTACTTTTCTCATTGTTGAGACACAATACCTGACACCCACAAATTAAGGGAGGAAAGGTTTATCTCCCAGTTTGTAGAGGTTCAGTCCATACTCCACTGGCTCAAAGGCAGGAAGAGATGACAGGAGAAACGGTCCAGGGCATGGTAGGCAGCAGACGGGGCAACAAGCAGCAGCGGCAGCCGTCTGCCTTCCTTCCCTGTCTGCATTCCCTCCAGGGTGCAAACTTGTTGACTGGTGCCACCTCTCTGCAGAGTGGCCCTTCCGTTATCCACACGCTTCATCCTGTCATCACACCCTTAGTCTACATTTATGTACTCTAATCCAGCTACCATCTAAACTCCCTATGACCATACGACAGCCAGATACGGGTTACAGTACAGGGGCTCCCAGGTGGCCAGCACCTGCAAGCCCAGTACCACCTCCACCTGCCACCTGCACATGTGTCAACACACACCTGCCTGTCTCCTAGACCTTGGCTTTTCCAGTGCTTTGGGCCTGGGCCCTCTGGGTGGACAGGCTCCACCCCACCCTAGAACAGAGCTATCCACAGATCAAAGTTGGAACCCATTTCTCTGGTGCCCACAGTTTAAATAGTCACTAGATACGAATGGAATTCATTTGAATGACGGAGTCCAGGATACCTGCCATACTGTCTTCCCGTGCCCCACAGGGCGGGAGTGCTGTCTCAAGTCAGACAAGCCTGATTTCACCTGTGTGTGGGACAGCAGAGCTGTGTCCCTTCCCAGGGCAGCAGGGGGAAGACATGAGCGGAGCCGGGGCTCAGAGTACTTGCTGCCCAGGAGGGGTGCTGAGTGGATGTGGGAGTCCACGTGTGTGGGAGGGGCGACCCCTATGGCCAGGACAGGGAGGGCTGGAGAGGAGGGAGTCCGGGAATGAGATGCTGGTCCCCCACCCTGTGCCTCGTCCCCTCCCTGTGCTGCGTGCTCCTCCAACCAAGGGTCCCCCTTCTCCTCCTCCTCTCCCAGCCCAGCCCCTTCAGACTCCACGCAGAGCTCAGCTTCCTGTCTTGGTTCCATGACACTGAACTGTCCTTTGATGAGAACTACAAGGTCACTTGGTACATGTCCTGGAGCCCTTGCCCGGAATGTGCGAAGGAGATTGTAACATTCCTGGACAATCATCACAACGTGACCCTGACTATCTATGTCGCCCGCCTATACTACCATTGGAACCCCACATACAAGGAGGGGCTGCGAGCACTGGTGCAGGGAGGGACCCGGCTATACACCATGGCTTTCCCAGGTGAGAGGTGGGGTGCGGGGACCGCTGAGATGGAGGGTCGGGGCGCAGGGGTGGGGGAGCTCTGGGCTCTGATGTTCTCTTCCCTCTCTCATTGCAGAATTTGAAGACTGTTGGAGTCTCTTTGTGTGCAATGAAACATTCAGACCTTGGGAGAATTTCCATAAATGTTGTTCGCTCCAGGACAAAACCCTGCAGAAGATTCTCAGGTGACTGGCTCTTCCTGCTTCTCTCCCCCTCCCCTCCCCCTTCTGCCCATCCTGCTCTGGCCTTCCGGTTGAGGTCACAGGGATCCCTCCCTGGCTGTACCTACTCACCTCTTCCCGCTATGCCCCTCACCTCCCTTTGGCTCCTGGTCCTCACAAAACATCCTTTCTCCTCTCCTAGTCCTAAAGACCCCCAGATTCACATCCACCGACCACACTGCTACCCCCACCATAATAAGTAAACCTTGGTATTAAACCAACTGTAGTCAGGCATGGTGGTGCATGCCTGTAATCTTAGCACTCGGGAGGCTGAGGCAGGACGATCGCTGTGAGTTTTAGGGCCAGCTGGGCTACATAGTAAGACCCTGTCTCAAGAAATCAAAACAAAATTTAAAAAAATTGAACTGACCATAAATCAGTATATGAACATTGGAATATTATCTGTATTCATGACACAGTCACCACTGTAGAGACAGAGGACAACCTTCTGGGCCCTTCGCCTGTTACCATTAAACGTGTGATTTGCCTTTACGTCTGAGACAGTCAGGGACTTCATAGTGTTTTCAGTTAAAAATTGTTACTCTTCACTTGGACCTAGAAATTCCTAGTAGGTAACTGAAAGCAGAGCAAAGCTTGATCTTAGTTCTGTAAAACTCCAGGTCAAATCCTCAGCTCTGCAACATGGAGCACCTGTCTAAAAGTTAACAAAACAAGCCTTACTAACCCTAAATTTACCCAAACCTGTCTCGTTACCCTTCAAGACTGAGGCTACCAGGCTGAGATTTACAGGGACATTTGACCATGCCAGAATCTCCCTCGCTCTAAATCTAGGGTCACCTTGGGTTCCAGCACAGACTCACATGACTGAGGCTGCCCCAGTCCTGAGGATTCTGCCTGTAGGAACTGAATGGCTGCCTCTCAGTTCCGCAGTTTTCTTTGGAGCCGGCCCCAGCCCACACAGCACCTGCAAAAAGCTGGTCTCTGTTCTGCAGACAGGTCAGTCTGAGCAGCTTCAACTGTGCTCCATCAGGTGGGACTCAAGCTAGAGCCCTTCTGCGATGCTCTCGGACTTTGCAGTTAAAGCCTTAGCCTGTAGATCCTCTTGGTGCTTTGGTTTTAATTTCCGTTGACACTAAAGCAAGGACCCGTGCTACCCGGTGACAATATGAGAAACGTCCCTCCAGGCAGACTTGAGCTCTCAGGGAACTCCCTGGTGCAGTCACTGTGAGGTCCCAAGGCCATCCAATGACAATGCCATCGTCCAGGCACAGAGACCCCAGGGCAGCTCCCACATGGGCTGGAGCCATGCCGGCCATGACTGAGGGGCTGGTGGCATTGTTTCTGCTGTGGTTCCTGTCCCTGGCTTTAATGTCCACTTCTCAACGTGCCCCTACATGGTCTTTCCCCACCACACATGTATCCCCAATGTCCCTGTGTCCTGTGTCCCTCTGACAAAGCCACCAGGAGCACTGCATCAGGCCACACCCTAGGGCCTCCCTCCCAGCATCATCGCCCCTGCAGAGGGCGCGCATCCAGATACAGTGCACACGACTTCCGGGGTCGGGGCCTCGGCATCTGGACTCAGGCCCACGGCAAGGACCCAGGTCCTAATTGGACTGCCTGTGGGTGGGGATCACAAGGCTCCTGTCCTTTCTGTGTGCCTGTCTCCAAGGGGGTTCCTGACCTGACACTGCCTCCACCCAGCTCTTGCTGCACCCTGGAGCCTTTGTTCCTGTCACCACTCCCACCCTGTGCTGTCCCCCAGCCCTTCCGATAGAGGAGCCTCTGGGGGCTGCAGGTGACACAGGAAGTGAGCGGGGTGTCCGGAGCCAGGAGCAAGCCATGAGCTGAAAGTATTTGGGAGGAAGCCCAGGGGAGGGTCCAGCATGGTGGCCAGGGACACTTGGCCCTGCTGTCCCATTGTCACTGGATAGAGTCTGAGGAGGCCACCCAAACAGAAGGGGGCCCTCAACTCACCCCATAGGGTGAGTTCACAGAAACTCACCCTAGGTTCACAGGGTAGGTTCACAGAAAAGGATTTTCAGGATATGTCTGTGAGGCGCACCAGACAGTTATTAGGCAGGATTCTAACTGTACACACTCAGAAACAGTAGAGCGAGTGTTTGTTCTGAGTTGGGAGTTACTGTGTGATGCTGGGTGTCACCAGGATGGGTGATCTTGGTGTTTTCCTATTGCCCGTCAGATTCCCACCTGCTGGCTCGGTTAGGATACAAACCATTTTCCATGTGTGCGAGGTTGAGATCTGCCGCCCACTCATTGCTGAGGGTAGAGGTCTGACAGGGAGAGCAATTTCCAGGTGAAAAGCATGGGCCACAATTTATAAGTTTCCTGCAACTTTCAGGCCCCTAGGAAAAGTTTTTGGATGGAGTTTCTGTAAAAAGAAACGTCCTTCAGGATCCTTTGTGTCCCGAAGTGGCAGTGTTTATCAAAAGTACAGTTTAAAAATTACAGTTTCCTTGTCTCTACCTAATTTTAAGTCCTTTATCCTATCTAATTCTTCCCTGCACAGGACTTTTGATTTTGTATGAGGACTTTTGATTTCTTACTCTTAAAGGATGCCGAGGGCCAAAGCTCTATCTTCTTACAGTTGCTTTGGGCTGAGAGAGGGCAAGGATGGAAATTGTCCTTCTGCCTGATGTAAAGGAAATATGGGAAGATTGAGTTGTTTTTTTTAAGGACCATCATCTTTTGATGGTCAGTCTGTTTCGGGAAAGCAGCACATCAGCAGCAGGGCAGTGCAGCTTACAGCAGGGTCTGAAGTGCACTGCTTTGTGAGTGTCAGCCTGGGAATACAGAAGCCACAACTCAGAGCTGTCAGGAACATACACCTGCTATTTTGCTTTGATAATAGTACAGGTGACCTTCAGCTTTCACTTGGATCGAGAGTAAGCTAGAAGATACACATTCTACAGGCGTGTTAAGCAGGCAAGGTTAAATAATGGTAAATGGTAGATGCCAGACAAAATTAGTTAGTGTTTGGGAGTAGATTTTCATCCTGAATACTAACCTCTGCAGTGTGTGTTTTGAGGTGTTTACCCCAGTATAACAGGTGACATTTAAGAGCAGGCCGATTGCTCCCAGCTTTGTGAATCCAAACTCTAATTATTTTTATCAGATTACTTTTGGAGTATTTTTGCGATTCACAGTAAGCACACTCGTGGGGGAATTGGTCCACAGATGTATCACATCTTGATCTCTTTTACTTCCCCTTTTGCTCCTTCCTGTGTTCCCTGTCCCCAGACACCCTTCCCATCCTTTTGGAAAAACATGTGGTTAGTCTCAATTTCATTAACTTCTTTCATGCTTCTAATTTCTTTCCTTCTATTAATTTCTTACTTGGATTATTCTTGTTTTTCTAGGATATTGAAGCACATCACTCAGTTATTTATTAGGGACTGCTCTATTCTTTTTATAATCATCCCTGAAAGACTGCTTTCATTGTGTCTCGTTGTTTTTCATGTTGCGCTTCTGTTGCCATTTGATTCTAGGAACTTTATTTCTTCTGTGATTTCTTGACTGTTCCTTAGTGTGCTATTTAATCTTCATGTGTTTGCAATTTCTGTGGCTTCTTTTGCTGTTGACTTCTAGCCTTGTTTCACTATGATGTGATACAATACGAGATTATCTCAGTTCAGTTTTATTTATTTAAGGTTTTTTTTTGTTTTTTGTTTTTTGTTTTTTTGTTTTTTTGTACTGGGGGTGAAACTCATGACCTTGTGCCAGCGAGGCAGGTGCTTGTGACACTGAGCTAAATTCCCATCCCCTAGTTATGACCTAAGATACAATGTATTTGGGGGAAAGTTCCATGTGATGTGGAGAAAAATGTATACTCTGTTGTTGTTGGATGAAACTCTGTAGATATCTGTTAAATCCATCCACTCAATGGTGTGGTTTGACTCTGATGCTTCTTTGTCTGGTTGACCTAAGTGTGAGAGTAAAGTCTTCCATATGGTTGTGCTAGTGTCCATCTGTCCTTTTCAGTCCAGTAGTTTTTGTCTTATGAAACTGAATGTGGCAACATTCACTGCATATATATTTATAATTGTTATCTCTTCCTGTTGATTTGTTCTCTTTCCAAGTATGTACTGGCCATCTTTGTCTCTTCTGATCAGGACTTGAAGTCTACTATGTCTGAAAATAAGATAGATCTTTGTGGTGATTTTCAGGCTCCTGTTGAGTACAGTGTGACTTTTAATCTTTCATCTGTAGTCTACTGTTTCTGGATGAGGTGTGTCTTTGTAGTCAGTATATGGTTGCATTTTGGTTTTTGATCCTGTCTGCCACGCTGTGTCTTTTGACTGGGTAGCTGAGAACACTGACATTGAAATTTATTATTGTAAAATGTTTATTTTTTGTCCAGTGCTGATTCCTTTATTTTTTTTTTCCATTTTTTAAAATGACTTCCCAATTAGATATGCACTTCCCTTTGGGATTTTTGCTGCTGGTGACCTCCCTGTCTCTATCTAGGATCTCTCTAAGTATATTCTGCAGTGCTGGTTTAGTGGTCATGTAATTCGTTAGGATTTCTTTTCATGGAGTTTTTACTTTTCTGTCAATTTTGAACGCTGGTTTTTCAGGATAGAAAAGCCTGGGTTGATGATTGTTTTCATTTAGGGCTTGAAGACATCACTGTAGAATCTTCTGCCTTTCAGATTTGCACTAGAAATCCACACTTATTCTAATGGTTACCTTTTATAGACTACTTGCTGTTTTTCTCTAATAGCTTTTGGTATTCTCTCTTTGTTGAATTTCTGAAATTTTGATTATGATGTGCCCTGGGAAAGTTCTTCTCCCATTGTAGATATTTGAGGTTCAGTATGCTTCTTCATTTGAATACTGAATGTTTTCTCTAGACTTAGAGAAATTTTTGCTATGATTTCAGGAAAAATTATACCTTTCTAATTTTTCTTCATTTTTATAGTTCTGAGTGTTTGGTTTTTGTTTTGTTTTTCTTTGTAGCAGGGATTGAACTCAACGACCTC